TCTCAGCTGCGGTGACCCAGCGCTCCCTCGCCCCAGCCCCTTCCCCAGGGCTCCTGAGCCACCTCTGCACCTAACACAGGTCAGTGGCATCAGAGCTCTGGGAACAAACTCAAAGTCCTCTGCAGGACGTGCGGGCACCGAGACCAGCCGGGCGGGCACCCATGGGACGAGCTCAAATGCGCTTTCCTGCAGCTCAGGATGGAATGGCCAGAAGGGACATGTGACAGGAGAGGATCTGATGGCTTTGCAGGACAAGGCAGGGATGGGGTGGCCAGAAGAGGGGTGTCACGGGGGAGCCGAGCTGCACAGGTGCACAGTGACCCCACCGCCATGGCAACAGCTCCCCCTGCTCTGGGCAAAGCTCCCACCTGGCACGGAGGAGGAGAGCTGCTCCCAGCTGCTCTGCACGTCCCCTGTCCAGTGGCCGGCATATCGGCCGTGGCCGGCGAAGGTGGAGCGGGAGATCACGAAGGGGCGTGTCCCCCGAGTCTTCACCAGGGCCCTGGGTGGAGCAGAGGGACAGAGAGGGCCGTGTGGAGTGGTGTCACTCCTGGCCCAGCGGGGAGGGAGGCAGGAGGCGAGGCCACCTCCAGGTCCGCTGGGCAGTCAGCTGTGCCCTGCCATCGGGCCACCTTCGAAGACACACCCTGTTTCAGGGAGGAAAGTGACCACCGCTCGTGGGGGCCACAAGCCTGTTCAGCCCAGGCTCTCCGTCCAGTCACCTCCAACCTTCCTCTGAGGGCACGGCGTGGAGGCAGAGTGCAGGGTGGCCTGGGCTCCGCCCCTTCCTCCGGGCACACGGGCCCAGCTGGCCCTCACCTGTGGGAGGCCACGGCCTCCGTCAGGCCGTACAGGTTGTGCAGGTTGTAGTGGGTAGAGAGGAGCTGGCGGCTGGAGGCGCAGATGGTAGCTGCACGGAGGGTCCCGCCAGCCACACCTGGGGGAGACGGGGCTGTTTGCGAGGCGCCTCCGCCAGCAGGCAGGTGCCGCCCCCATCCCGGGGCACCCTCAGATCTTGTGGCACACCCCACTACAGTCTCCACGTTTCCAAGGACAGGGACAAGGTGGACGCCGGAGGCTGCCCTTTGCAGACCCCAGACTCACGCCCCAGGCACCTGCCCTCGACCGCTGCTAGTCTTTCTGTATCCATCCGCCTAAGCCCGAAAGGTCCTCCCTCTGAGGGTCCCCCCGACCCCGGCTGCACGGTGTGGTGCCGCTTTTGGGGGCAGTGTCTCCCTGACCTGAGCCTGGGTCCCCCGCTCCCCCTTCCCCTGCTCACTGCACCCCGCGGCTCCTCAGAAATGACAGCCTTGAGTCTCCCAAACCAGAGAGCCGATCGGAGCCCTCAAGTCCCATGACTGGTGCCAGGGGGACAGCTCACCCGGCACATAGGGCGGGTTCTCCAGGTCATTGGCGGGACAGCCGTCCACGGAGCCCTTCACGAAGTTGGATGGCTCGTTCATGTCCTACGAGAGAGGCCCCTGAGGTGGGCGCCCTGCCCAGTGCGGAGGGGGAGCCGGTCCCCAAGGCCGAGGGACACCCAGGGGCCAGAGCCACACTCACAATCCACATGCCGTCGAAGGGCACTTGGGCGTGGAACTCGGCCACCATGTCCTGCCACCAGTCAAGGGTCTCGGGGTTGGTGAAGTCGGGGAAGGCAGTGGGTCCCGGCCACACCTGGAAGGGAGCTCAGAGGGGAGACCGGCCCCCAGAGTCTTCAAGGAGGCCCTGCACCGAACTCACCTACCTGGGCGTGGGGGCTGCACAGGTGAGCGGCGTCAGTGAGGAGGACCGCGGTGAAAACTCATCTGAGACCCCACTTTCAGACAGGGCCTGAGGCCCCAGCATCTGCCCTCCTGGGAGCCTCCCCAGCCGCCCCTCGGCCGGGCCCCCCGCCTTGTTTCTGGGCACGTCCTGAAACGGGGTGGTGAGGACTCTGCTGGGCACCCCTTGGGAAGGCCTGGGAACTGTCAGAAAGTCCCCAGGGCCTGGTGGACAAGGAGGGTCCTGAGGCCTCACCCAGGGTCTGCGGAGGTCATGCCTGGGCTGGGCCAGGCCCCCCATGACGCCTGACGGAGGACTCAGGGACCATCACTCCCAGCCGTGATGCCACCCCATCGTCCTGAACAACTTCCTGTCCCCACTGCTGGGACCCCCGCTTTCTCAGCCCCTGCCCCCCGACCCCCACTCTACCTTCCCAATCAGTGGCTGCCCGGTCTCGTTGGTGATGAAAACCCGTCTCCGCAGACCCTCGTCGTAGGGTCGGTAGCTCCCGGGGGGCCCGGCACTGCTGATGGCGGGGTCCTGGGGTGAGAGAGACGGGTCAGAGAAGGAGACACCCGAGCCTCGGCACGGACCGCTGGGTAAAGGGGGAATGCTCCCGACAGCGCCACAGGGGACGGGGCAGGGCGAGGCCGCGCACGTGTGTGCACACCCGCGGGCGTCCACGTGCACATGTGCCTTAGAGACGAAGCCAGAGGTGGGCGCACCTGGATGCGGGTTCTACCTCTGCTTCAGAGTTCTAGGGTTTCACACACTCTGCAGCGAGCATTTACTTGCGTCTGCCCTGCTCTGAGTGGCCACTGATGCCAGCTGCCCTCAGAGGGGCCGCGATGACAGAAATGAGCAGCCACTGCAAGCCCCTCGGCAGACGGGTGTCCACTGAGAGGGCATCGTGATGCCAACCCTGCCCCCGCCCTCCAGCTGCAGGGCCGGGCACTGGACCCCGAACCACAGCCCTCCGGCTGCAGGGACCGGCTCAGCGAGGCTGTGTCTTCGTGCTTGGCCACTCAGAGTCCCTCTCACCTTCACACAACACAGGTGCCCCGGGGGAGGCAGGGCCAGGAGACACTGAGCCCCCGCACTGCTCCGCCCGGCCCTGCCGGTACTGGGTGACGTCGGCTGTGCCCCCGGCCCCCTCCTTTGCTTTAAGCCAGTTAAGTCACCCGGAACCGACATTCCCTGGACATCACTGGACATCGGGGACCAAGTCTGATAGATCTGACATCCCCTCCAGATCAGGAACCATCCTCGGTGACCATGGCAGGTATGAGGAAGATGCCACCTGGGTATGGAGCCACTGGGCCCTGGGCCCCTCTTCTTTGCAAAGGGCCCGCTCCACGTGTCCCTGGAGGGCAGAGGCACTCACCACGATCATCACATACCGCCGGCCGCTCTGGTGGAGCTCCTGCACCATGGCCGGGAAGTCCCCAAAGCCGTCCTTGTTAAAAGTGAAGTCCCTCTTGGCGTCCATGTAGTCCAGGTCATTCCACTGGACGTCCTGCAGCCACAGCACAGGACCAGCTGTGGGGGCCTGGGAACTGTCCGCCCGCCCCGCGCCTCTGCCCGCCCCCACCGGGCCCCAGGCCCGCCCCGCACTCACCAGGGGGAAGTGGGCCCTGGTCATGTTCTCCACCACCTGGCGGGTGATGGCGGTGGACGAGTAGCCCCAGCGGCACAGGTGGAAGCCCAGGCCCCAGTAGGGCGGCATGAACGGGTAGCCTGCGAGCCAGCAGGACTCCGTGAGTGGGCGGAGGGCAGGGTGGGCAGGCGGGGTGGGCAGGCGGGACAGGGCGGGGAGCTGGCCTACCCACAATGTCCAGGTACTGCCGCACCACGCTCTTGGGGTCCGGGCCCAGGAAGACGTACACGTCCAGGATCCCGCCTGTTGACCTCCAGCTGAGGGCTGGGCTCGGCTGCAGGACCACGTCTGGGGAGAGCAGCCCTGGAGCTCAGGGACAAATACCCGTCTCCCCCGCGGGGCCCTTAGCACCTCACAGATGGACAAGCCAAACCACCTCTGGAGAGGGGGTCCTCCTACGGGGGACCTGGAAGCAGCCTGCTTGGGGGACAGGGGACCCTGAAGACTCACTGAGGAAGCTGGTTGGACCCCAGGACACCCCTTTCTGGCCCCTGCCCACCGCCAGAAGGGCAGGGCCACCAAAGGGCAGAGCTGGAGAGGCCACAGCACAATGGACCCATTTCCTGGAAGAGCACGTGAGGCCCGGCTCCTGCCCGCGGCCTGTGGGGGCCAGTGCAGAGAGCCCAAACTCCGTCTGTGACAGAGGCGGATGCAGCCGCACCCGGGAGCCCCCAGCCTGGGCGCAGAGAAGCAAGCCGGGTGGGGGTGGGGGGCTCAGGTGCCCGCCGGGGTGGCCCCGTCGACTTACCCATGGCATTGCTGTTCAGGAGGAAGACCCCGTGAGCCAGCCCGCCGTCCTCCAGCGCCAGGTAGAAGGGGTGGGACCCGTACAGGTTTACGTCAGGCTGCACACGGCAGACACGCGCTTAGCTCGCTCGGCCCCGCGGCCCTCCAGCCCCGGCCCCGCCCCGGCCCCCGCTGTACCACGGGGGCGATGTCCCGGTTCCAGAGGGTAATCTTGGTCCAGTTGGTGCTGAGCATCAGGGGGCCCAGGTGCTCGGCGAGGCCAGTTATGTGCTGGGACGGCAGGGACGTGGACAGCTGCAGGAACTGGTCAGCGAAGAACAGGGGGGCCACCGTGGTGTTCAGCCTGCCGGAAAGAGGCGCCTCGCACCCACGGCGGCAGATGAACCCTGGGTGGACCCGCCCAGAGGGGTCCCCGGACCCTGGTGCCCCGAGGACGCCTGGCCAGCTGCAGACATGCTGACCTTGGGACAGAAGCGGCCACGTCAGGCCCCACAACCCCGGGGTCACTGGCGTGGTGGGGACAGGGTCACCAGCGGTGCTCCCTGGCTGTGCCCACGTTACTGTGGACAGGCTCCAGGAGCGGCCTGCCCAGGGCCCTGGCCACAGCGGGCAAGGTGAGGGCCGCCCAGGGCCCTTCTAGTCCCAGAAGTTGTGGCCCTGTCCCAGTGCTGCCCCAGCTCAGCCCCAGAGCCCGTGCAGCTGCCCAGCCAGGGCTGCCCAGGGTCCCCTGAGGTAGCACGGGGTCAAGGGCAAGACAAAAAACCATGGGCAGCGCCCTCTCCAGGTGGGACACGTCACTGCTGACGTCACAAAAGGGGGACCCACAGCACGCTGCCCGCTGTGGCCCACACGCTGCCAACCTGCACGTGTGTTTGAGACCAGGATCCCACAACGGGCCTTAGCAGACTTCTCAGGTCTCAAGGGGCCTGCCGTGGCCCCCCACTGCAGAGCCAGCCCCGCCCCCACAGCTGTTTCTGGGGCTTTGCTGGCGCTGCTGCTCCGGACGCTGCTCGTGTGGACGCTGCTCGTGTGGACACGCGCACCGCCTCTCCCCACTGAGTCTGCCCTGGGGGCCGGCTGGTAATGCCCTCCCCGAAACGAATGGCGGGAAAGAAAGGGCTGCTTTTCCAAAGTTACGTTCTCGTAAGACCGAGGCCAGTCCACGTCGCGTGTCACTCAGCTCGGTGACAAAGCAGAGCCTGGCGGTTCGGAGCACGTACTGTGTGGGCCCACGTGGATAAAGTGGGCAGGGTACGTCCTGTGAAACGTGCTCGCACCGTCACACGTCAGGGCAGACAGGGCCTGACCGCTGGGCCTGTGGGCCTGTCCTGAGGAGGGGACCGTGTTGGACACGCAGAGTCACAGACACAACAGTCATGTCTAAAGCGGGTTCCAGGATGCTCGGGTGCATCCAGTGAAGGTCGGGCGGGGGGTGGCACGCTCTCCTTGGAGACAGCGGTGGGACCAACCGAGGCCTCTTCTCCCCAACAAAGGGGCGCTGGGCGCCTGCTGTGGGTCAGAACCTCCCCGGGGGCTGGAGGCTCAGCAGTGACCAGGAAAGGCTTCTGCCGCGGGTGACAGCAGCAATGATCCAAACAGAAAAACCCATGGGAGGGCCTGAGCCCTGGAGGGACGCCAACCAGAGCGGCCAACAGCAGGGACACTGGGGCCCCGGCTCGGTCACCTGCCAGCAAGCACCTCGCCTCTCCGTGCCTCAGTTTCCTCGTCTGTAAAGTGGGGATGATAATAGCACCCACTGCTGAGCTATTACAAGGATGAGATGAGGTGGCAGCCACAGCGCCTGATACGTCATAAGCGATACGTAGTATTTGCTAAATAAACAGAGCCGGCGGGAGCGGGTGCCGTCTCGGGCTGGCCCTGGGGGGGGCCCGGCACCGCTGTGCTGTGGGGCTGTCCTGTGCGTTGGAGGGGCTTGAGCAGCATCCCCGGGCTCTGCCCATTACATGCCAGCAGCACCTCACCCCTGTGACACAACCAAAACGTCTCCAGCCATTGCTGAATGTCCCTTGGGGGAAAATCTCCCCTGGCTGGGACTCCCTAGGTTAGACGTGGGAGGACCTCTGAGGACTCGGGGTGGAGGGAACACAGGGCCCCACGGGGTGGGGGTGGGTGGGGTGGACCTGGGCAGGGTCAGGGAGGATGCCATTCGGGGCCAGGCACTCACAGCACCCTGCCGTCCAGCTTGCGGCGCACGACCAGCCCAAAGGGCTCCTCGGAGAACTCCACGCTGTAGAGGGACGACGGTGCGCGGCGGCGCGTGCGCGGGGTCTCCCAGGGCACCTCGTAGCGCCGGTTGGCAGGGTCTTTGATCTAGAAGAGAGAGGTGGTGTCACGAGGTCGCCGTGGGCTGGCGGCCGCCTCTGCTCACCTCCCCGCTCCCCCCTTCGCCCTCCAGAGGGCGTGGTTCCAGTCCCAGCACGGCCACATGTCGCGTGAGCCTGGGCGCCGCTCAACCTCCCTGGGCCTGGGTCTCATCTACGGAGTCAGGTCCCCTGCTGCGGGCTGCCAGGTCAAATACGGAACAACCAGTAAATCTGAATTTCGGATAAACAACATTTTTTAAGAAAATTATTTCTAGCTAAGTATGTCTCGGATGTTGCCTGGGACAGGCGGTAAAATCATAGACTCGTCCCTTGATTATCTGGTTCGAATTTCCTCGGCATCCTGCATTTTCATTTGCTGAATCCGGCAACGCTCTGCAGCCTGGCATACCTGCCTCCGGGTGGGGACAGAATTGGAGCGCCAGCTCGTCGGGTAGGTCACGGCCGCTCCGCCCACGGGGCGGATGATAACAGTTGCTAATGATAACAGGGCCAGCAAACGGTGGGTCAAGCCCTTGCCCTTGAACCTGCACATTCGTTCTGTTGTCAGGATTTTACTGGGCACCTGTTCTGTGCCAGACACTTAAGAGGGGCTGGGACACCGCAGGGAATGATGAGACCAAAGACTCTGCCTTGGAGACCACTGCCCGAGTTGGTCCCCTTCCTCCCAGTTCACCTTTCTGCTTGCCGACTCCTGGCTGAGACTTCGTTTCCTGGGGAGGCCTAACCTCCCTCCACCAGACAGTGACACCTGCCCTCCAGAGCAAGTTCTAGACTCTTCTAGTCCCTGTCTTAGTGGCCGCTGCTGCCTGAGTGTAGGCACTGCTCAACACCTGGACTCACAGTGAGGACACAACACGTATCTGCGCCCACTGCTGTCCACGCACTCTGCCGGGTCCACGCACGCGCCCTGCCCGGTCCACGCACACGCCCGCCGCTGATCGCGCGCCCTGCCCCGTCCCTGCACACGCCCGCCTGCCCAGCCCGCCCACCGTGAAGTGGAGTCGGCTCTCGGTCTCCATCAGCACTTCCAGCCGTAAGGTCAGGATGTCCTTGGGGAAGAAGGTCGGGCTGTCTCGGGTCAGGCTGGCTGTGTAGCCCGTGTCTGTGGTGGTCAGGTTCCCCAGCTTGTAACTGGGGTAGCTGGGTGGGACGAAGCACCAGGGCTGCCCCATCTGGGATTCTCCAGATCTCCACCTCGCGGGCACATAGCAGCAGCCCCGGGCCTCACACTGCTCCTGGGTGATGGCCTTGTCTGGGGCGCAGTCAAAGCGGCTGTTGGGGGGCACGTCGCACTGTGTGGGTGCTGCTCCAGGACTGGGCTGGGGCCTTGGGCCGCCAGCCCCCTGCTGGCAACCTTGATCCATCTCCTCGGATACTTGGGAGAAGCTGTACAGCTCTCGGGGGACCACGGCAAAATCGTGGAGCAAGATGTGCCCCAGGAAGGCAGCGGCAGCCAGGGAGAGGAGGGCGCAGAGCCCCAGCTGGGGGCGGGAGCAGAGCGGCCACGGCATGTCTATGGTCTCGGTGCAGGGACCGTCCTGGAGGCCTGCCGACAGATGAACCGGGCTCAGCGGGGAAGGCAGGAGGTGTGGCCAGGGCCTCAGCGGCTCTCAAAGCAGCTTCCGGACCCGAACTTGTTGGGGCCAGCAGTGCCCAGGGCGCAGGCGAGGTCTGATGAGGCGGACGGTGGGATGGACGAGCCTTCAGTACTGCAGACAAAAGCAGGGGAGAGAGGAAAGTGGGAAGAAAAGGCTCAGATGGGGTTGCGGAACACGCTGGAGCCTTGTAAAATGCTTAGATCGCCATTAAAAAGGACTGTCACACAAAGACCGACGTGACAGACACATGGAACAAGCAAGCTACGGCAGTCACAGAGCCCGCTTCTGCACAAAGACTGAGGCCGAAGTCATTGAGGTGTGACCAGCGGAGTGGAAATGGAAGTGCCCTCACAGGGACTCGCCATCTCCCCTCTGTCCTGCTGCTGCCCAAGGTGTAGATGTCCCCTGGGGAGATGTGCTGAGCACGGCAGCCGAGGACGGCAAAGCCACAAAAGAAAGGCCTGGCCCCCAGGAGCCGGCCAGTCAGAGCCCCTCCCGGCCCTGCGGTTAGGGGACCACGCTGGTCCCCCTTGGTGGTCCTGGGTCTGCCTCTCGCCACAGCTGCGCTGGAGTCTCAGCTTGGTTACTCCAGTGGTAAGAGTGTCGTCACCTGCATGTTGCTCACGTGTATGTTCTAAATACTTGATAAGGAACCTTGCTGGTCCAGCTCCTCTGAGGAGCAGCAGAGGCCCAGATGGGACCTCGTGTGCACGGGTTCCATCGGGGGCGGCCTCTCCGTCTATTTCAGAGAAAATGGGAGGCTGCGGGGGTGGGCTGGAGAGCGACCACACCAGCCCTAAGTCTGACCCCATGGGGAGGAGGGTGGCTGGGTCCAAGCACCCCAGAATGCCATGCGGGGTAAGGGAGGTTGGGCAAGGCCATGGGGTTGGAGGGGACCTCGAGCCAGAGCTGGCCATCGGTGGGGTCCAGAGCTCCCAGAGCGGCCTGGCCTCAGCACAGCGGTGGGTTTCAGGGCGCAGCAGCTGAGCTGGGTGACCGAAGATTCAATTCAATTTTGACATGAACTCCCGGGATGAGCACAGACCCCACAGGTTAAGGTCCCGCAAGTCTGCCCCCACGGATGGCAGTCATCAATCCCAGGTTGTCACCACCTTTCCAACCAACTGGCTATAGCTGTGAGGGTTCACCCCCCAACACACAGCCTCAGATTCACCCATCGGCTAGAACAACTCACAGAATTAAGGAAAATGCTTTACTTGGTGCTATGGGTTTGTTATAAGGGACAACTCTGGACCGCCAGACGGCAGGGTGTGGGGGAAGGGGCGTGGCGCTTCTGTGCTCTCCCCCTGCATGCCACCCTCCCAGCACCAAAACGTGTCCGTCAGCTTGCAAGCTCTGCAGACCCCAGTTAGTTTAGGATTTCATTATATAGGCACAACTAATTATATTGTTGGCCAACAGTGATCAGTCGGCAGCCCCGTAGGCTCCCCAGAAGCTGGGGGTGAAAATTCCCACCCTCCAGTCCTGCTTTGATCTTTCTGGGGAGCAGCCCCCATCCTGAGGCTCTCTTGAGGCCCCCAGCTGTCAGTCATCTCATAGCATTAAAAAAACCACATTCTTATTACTCCCAAGATTCCAGGGGTTTGGGAGCTGTGTGCCGGAACAGGGGACAAAGACTGCTTTCTATACCACACAGTGTCCCAGCTCCACATCTGACACCTAATTATGAGAGCCTTCACTCGGGAGCTCCTGGCCAATGCCCACCCCTCGGCACCCCAAGCTGGCAGGCTACGGAGGTGCCGGGCACAGAGGGGCTAGCACCACACCCCCTCCTGGGGTCTCCACTTTAGACCCGGAAGGCCCGGCGATTTGCAGAACACGGGGAAAAGCTGAAGGTCAGGCGGTCGAGTGGCCCTGCTGACCAGCAGCGCCTGTCACCGCTCTCAGGCAGGTAAGTGGCTCCGAACCGCCGCTCCGCAGGCCAGGCTGGCGGTGTAGACCAGCGGGTTCAAAGGCCACCTCCAGCACTGGAGGGGGAAGCAAGGGTGGACCCGCTTTCCTCCCTGTGACACGGGCGCCACGGGGCAGCGTCCATCGATCCCTCCCCCTTTCGGGTGTCACGACTGCCC